TTTATTTTTGAATTTTTTGGGAGTAATTCTCATATAGGGCAAAAATCACGTGCTTACAAGGACCACTTTGTCATCATAGCTACACATTCACATTTTCGTGTGCATCAATTTTATTGGAAGTGCATATATATTTTTCTTTCCTTGTATTTGTCTAATTTCTCTTTAGGCTACACTGTGGAGCCTATACTTTTGCTTTTTTCATCTTTCTCTTCCTGTTTCTTTTGTTTTCATCTTTTCTTTTTTCTTTTAGGTGTGGTTTATGGGGGAGCAGTCCCACATCTCCATGGACTTCGATCATGTAAGATTATTTCAATGTTACTCAGTTATTCAATTTTCTAATCATGAAATTCTTCAAGTGCCAGTTTGTTTTTCTAATGTTGCCATGAAAATAATGCAGATTATCACTGCGACTTTGGAGAATTACATTACTTTCACAGTGAACCTAGAGAATGGCAGACATGGTAAACAATCTCAACCTGAACAGTGGATTCAAGGAGTGTTGAACAATGATGATCACAGCTCATCTTTCCCTGATATGAGCAAGAAGGTTTCCTCCTTGCCAAATATCATGAATGCAGATATAAAATTGGCATCCTCAATGTAAGATTATATACCTAAAAAAGCAAAATTATTTTCTCCGCCTGGCACTGTAATAGATTATGGTCTTACTTTATATTATTGTCTAACTCTAATCAGAGAAACAACCAAAAGCCCCTCTTATTGGGCCAGAATTTGCTTACGTAACATGGCCTTACTGACAAAAGAAGCGACTAGTGTACGGCGGGTTCTTGAACCTCTTTATCATTGTTTTGACACTGAAAACTATTGGGCTTCAGAGAAAGGACTCGCCTGCTCAGTGCTCATGTATTTGCAGTGCTTGTTAGAGGAATCAGGTGATTGATGGGCTCCTTGTTCTTTGTTTGTCTGTTGCTCGTTCAATTTTCCCTTATACAGATTTTGACCCCAGGTGAGAATTCCCATTTGTTGCTATCCATCTTGGTCAAGCACTTGGATCATAAGAACATTGTCAAGCAGCCTGACATACAGATCAGTATAGTTAATGTGGTCACACACTTGGCAGAAAATGCAAAAGAGCAAGCTTCCACTACAATAGTTGGTGTCATTGGTGACCTGATTAAGCATTTAATGAAGTGCATGCAGTATTCAGCTGAAGCATCTAGTTCGAAAGACAGATTAGATAATTCTAACTCCAATCTTCAGTCTGCCTTAGAGAGGTGCATATTACAGCTCTCAAATAAGGTTTGTCTTGGATAATTTGGTTTTCAATTGGCTGCAAGCATGTGCATTATATTCTGAACTTTTCTTTTGTTTGAGCAAGTTGTCAATGAAGTAAATTGGCTTCATCTAAGTTTACTTGCAATCCACTATCCTTTATTCTGTTTCCATATGTTCTCTATGTTTTCATTTTTGATGTCTTTGACGAAACAATTCACTTTGTAGTTTGAGAGTTGAAGTTTTGTTCTATAGCTTCCATGACTAATAAAGATATGTATGGACCAGACTTCATCCAAAAAGAAAAAAGAAGGAATTGTATGGACCAGAAATGCATGCTCATTAGAGCTACGAGTTGAATAACCTTGATACCACGTACTAGACCCAAGGAGAGGGTTAGTTTTAATCACTGCAAGCAAATAAAAGATAAGCACTGTGTAGTCCTTTGTTTGGCCTACTTCTCTTTCACTCAATTACGAGAATACGTTTTTCATAGAAATAGAAATCTTTTGTATTTCCTAGAATTTATACCAGTAAGTAATTCTGAAGATCTACTTTGGACTGGGTTTCAAATTTCAACTACTCTTCTAAAGGCATACTCACTAGACTATGTACTAGTTTCTGGCGCTATTCAAAGGCCAATGTTGATGCTTTCAGTCAAAACTGTGTTGATAATAAGTTGGTCAATTTTTTTATAGTTTCTGGGGAATAAGTTCTATCTCTGCTTTTAATGTTTATCTGCTCAATGTGTTTCTATAGTTTTTCGCTATAAGCTGCTTGCTATCACCAAGTACAATTGATAGCAAGTATCAACATCCTACTTGCCTCTGGGAGAGTGCACGAACCAAGTGCCGTTATACGGTGAATGGTGTATTTTTATTATTACTTCTAACTTTAGATCGTCATTTGCTGATTTGCATGAGCATACTATGTGCAGTATGTTTTAGGTGAAGGTAGTGTTTTTATTATGACATCTATGTCATTAACAGGTTGCTGATATGGGGCCTATACTTGATATGATGGGCATGGTGCTTGAGAACATTCCAGCGAGCATCGTGGCAGCTAGAACAATGATTGCCGTTGTGTATCGCACAGCACAAATTGTCTCTTGCATTCCTAACGTGTCATATTACAGGAAGGTAACTAGAATCTGTTGTAGAGCTCCTGATACATGGTTTTGTAACTTTTGTGTATTGCAAATGGTCTAATCTGCTTTCAATCGACCTCAGGCTTTTCCAGATGCCCTCTTTCACCACTTGCTCTTGGCGATGGCACACACTGACCATGAAACACGAGCTGGAGCACACCATATATTCTCCACTGTGCTTATGGCACCTGTCAGTCACTTGTCATCTCTACATAGTAGAAATTCTTCCCAGGGTATTCTAGTCCAATCACCAAGGAAGTTGGCTAAGGTGAGAACTAAGAGTTTCTCCATACAAAATGGAAACACAGATGAAAATGGTTCCAGAGATGAAGAAGTGGGAGAAGAAAATGAAGATGTCAGTCGCCATTCACATCAATCTGCTGATTCTCGATCTCGAAGTCAATCCTGTAGCTTCAAGGATGCTCTCCCTGACAGGAAACCAGTATGGAAGCACTAATGTCTTTCTTTAATTGCAAGAAATGTCCATGACTTTGTTTTCTTTTTAAGCTAATTAAATGTCTAATTCTCTGAAATATTCCAGGATCTCACTTCACTTCGGTTGAGTAGTCACCAAATGAGTCTTCTGCTTTCATCTATCTGGGTTCAGGCAACACTGAATGATAATACACCTTCCAATTTTGATGCGATCGCCCATACATACAAAATTGTGTTACTTTTCACTCGATCAAAGGTTCAAACCAATCTCTTTTGTCATATACGTTTTCACTACAGTTACAGTTCTCAATATTCTAGTGACAAATCCTTGACCATACAAAATGTTTTCTTTTCTTTATTTTCTGGCCTTCTCTTTATAGCATCCCAAGTGTCTAGCTCTATCCAGAGATGCATGGGGAAACGTTCATGCATTTTGTCTCTCTTGTACGGTGGTGTTTGGACGTGTGAGTGTTGAAAAATGTAGAAATAAATTTGTAAATGTTCTTTGGTTAGCGTGTTTTCTCAAAAAAGTTTCCTGGGTGGAAAATTTCCTTGAGGAAATAGTTATAACCAAAAGGTTATTTCCATTCACACAACATTCAGAAAACTTCAAGAAACTACAATTATCCAAACAGTTTTTTCTTGTGCACAAACTATTTTCTCCAAAGAAATCTCTGACAAAGGCTATTTTGAAATCTAGACAAACTGTTATGAGTCTTATCTTGCTTGATCTCCATCTTTTATGTTGTTCTGCAACTTATTTCATCAATCACATAATAGTTAGGTTTGCTAATTGCAGAATTCTAGTCACATGGCGCTTGTTCGATCTTTTCAGTTAGCCTTCTCTCTGAGGAGTATTTCGATGGATAGAGAAGGTGAGTTGGGTTCACTATCAAGTTCCACCATTTTACATACTTGGGGAATACAAGCTTAGAGTTATTTAGTTTGGTTTCACAGAATAAATTGGCATCAGTTCTACGACCTGATAAAAATTTCAATCACTTGAAGTTCCTGACTGGATTGTCGACGATTACTTCTGTATCTTGCATTATGAAATTTTTAATTTTATCAGAATTAATGTCTTTTGGTGCAAATATTGACTATTATTTTACTCACTGCTTACTGAAGGAGGTTTACAACCATCTAGAAGAAGGTCTCTATTTACATTGGCATCATATATGCTTATCTGTTCAGCAAGGGCGGGAAGTCTCCCTGAACTAATTCGTGTGGTTGAATCATCACTGACGGGGGAAATGGTTAATCTCCCAAGCCTCTTTAACTTTTTGTTTAGTTTGCTGGATAAGGAGTTGATTTTTTCCTATTTTGCTGTTAGGCCGAATTTCATCAGCTCTCCATGTTTTCTAATATCATTTGATTTGTATAAATGTAATAAATGTGATAAGTGTTTGGTTAATAGGTTGATCCTTATCTTAAGTTGGGTGAAGATGTCAGGCTGCAAGCTGCATCTGAAGCATCTGGTAGCAAAGCATATGGTTATGGGTCACCGGAAGATGAAATTGCAGCTTTGAAATCCCTGTCAGCAGTAGAATTAGATGATGAGAAACTTAAAGAAATCATTATGTTGCACTTCACAACTAAATGCAGAACATTGTCAGAGGTATCGACTTTCTCAAAATTTGATGTATGATGCAATTTCATAACCTCATAGGCGGTGAGGAACTTTGGTCTATTGGGAAGACAGACTTATACACATTAATGACATTTTTTTTGGGTCATTAATAGCTAGTTTAATTTGTTTGCTGAGTGCAGTTATCTAGAGTAGAAAGAAGATTGTTTCAAAATAGCAAGAATGATGTAGAAAGCATAAAAGGTCTTTCTCCTTACACTTCTATTTTTGGTGCAAGGAACCCACGTTGTATAGCTGGGTAATTTGATGGAAGATTGTGGTTGCCTCAGGTTCAGTCATAGACACTACTAGTACATTCTTTTGTGACACCGGCTTGGTGTTATAACAATGAAGTTTATCGACTTATTAAGAAACTAACAGAGTAGAAATAAAAGTAGGTTGAATAACTTCTTGTTTGGATAAAAATTGCAACTTAGCCTATCGATATCATAACGTTGCATCAATTTTAGATGATTCGAAATGTGACCTGAAATCTATGAAATTATTATCCACATACTAAGGCATGATTTGAATCAGTTATCTTAAACGATTCCATGAGTTTTCTGCTACTGAAGGATGAAAGTCTTTGACTGGAGCATAGTCTGCTCTAGTTACAAACATGTTGTATCTTGTTTATGCAAACTCATCGGAAAATGGATCCACTGTCAGTATATTCTCTTATTTTCCTCTTTCGTAAAATGTTTTTGGGGAATGGAGAAACTCCTGGTGAGGAGTGCCTCTCATTTAATAGTCCCTACGCGGTGTGTATCCAGATTAGTAGGGCTAGTGCATTCCAGATACTGGATGGTTATACCCAGGAAAGGAAAAAAATCCCTCTTATGGTTTATAAACTAGTAAATAAATGAGCTTCTTAGTAAATACATGAGCTTCTTAGTACAGGATTTGTTCTCATTTTCTTCTGGAACAGGGTGTTGAATCTTGGCTAATGTTTTCCAGGATGAGTTATCAAGCATAAGAAAACAACTCTTGGAAAGGTTTGAACCAGACGATGCATATCCACTTGGAATTCCTTTGTATATGGAAACACCTCACCCCTGCTCTCCACTTGCTCAGATTGAGTTTGAGACTTTTGATGAGGTTGAATAGGAATCATTTTCTCTATTTGACATATACATATATTTATGTCTAGTTGGTTACTTTTTCTTTTGTGATACAAAGAGAGGACGCTTGAACGTTTTCTTCCACCCCAACCGCATGGCTTTCAAATATGCTCATTAAGAGAGTTAATTATGTTTCTTTACTCTATCAGGTCATGGCACCTCCTTCCCTCATAGATGAAGAAGCAATTTCAGATGCTAATGGAAGCCAATCAGGTCGAAAGACCTCTCTTTCCATCAATTCCCTTGACATTCTAAGTGTGAACCAGCTTTTAGAATCGGTGAGTAACTGCTTAGAAACACATGTTTAGGAATATTTGTTTAGTTGTTAATGTTCTAGATTAACATTATTTTTAAACATTTAAAACTATGAAAGTTCCGTTTAAACTATGAAACTATGAAAGTTCTAGATTACTCTTTGGAAAGTTCCGCTTACACATTATTTTTTTTTATACATTTAAAACTATGAAAATCCACTTGGTTTTTGCGCCATTGCAAAGAGACTAATAGCCTGTTTGGCCAGGTTTCTTTTGAGGCAAAAGCACTTTTTTTTGGTCAAAAGTGCTTTTTTCCTAAAATTAAGGTGTTTGGCCAAGTTTTTGAAAGGAAAAAAAATGCTTTTGGGGAGAAGCAGAAGCAGTTTTGGTGAAGCAGAAAAAATAGCTTCTCTCCAAAAGCACATTTTTTAAAAGCACTTTTGAGAAAAATACACTTATTAGAAGCAATTTTTTAAAGCTTGGCCAAACACTAATTGCTGCTCAGAAGTTCTTTTCAAATTAATTAGCCAAACGCAATCTGTTTCTCACCAAAAATACTTTTGAGAAAAGCACTTCTCAAAATAAGCTGATTTTTGCAGCTTGGCCAAACGGGCTATAAGAAGAGGGAACAAAGAATAGAGAAATATGTCTCGACACTTGTCTTTATGGGGCATCAGGGGTTCCGCCTATCTTTCGTCTTCCCATTAGTGAAGCATAGTAACAAAAAGTACGAAAATGAATGATCTCTCCCACCCCTTTGTATCAGTGTCGATCAGGCACGATAGTGGTGGTGATCGGGATAAGGGGAGCATCTGCTCAGTTGCAGTGGAAGTGGATGCTTAGATTGATGGTGAAGACGAAGAAATAAAAAGATGGGAAAATTGAGAAGAATAAGATGACAATGAAGACAAAAGGAATGCAAAAAAGAAAAGAAATTTGGTCATGTCTCGGCAAACCTACTTTCTCCATTTTCTGTCTCTTCTGCTTCAAGTCGAGTTGAAGCCCTAGTTTGTAGGGGAACCAAAGGCCAAGATTATGATGAAGAGAGTACTTTTTAGCAAAACCCTAAAAGTTCTTGAAAAGAACATGAAAGCCCTGATTAGAAAAGGAAAAGAACATGAAAACCAAAGGTTGAACACTTGCAAAGTTGTCGTCTACAAGCTAAAATCCCTAACAAACTAGGTTTGCTAATTTTTTCTTAATCAAGAGAGAGTCCTAAAACTACAAAACAAATACCTGAGCATTACACCTAATCAAATAACAGCATTAAGAATTTACAGTCTAATAAATCCTAAGATACATTCCGGTAACTCCTAAACTACCTTGGGACTAAAGAAAAGTAAATCAGATTGACTGTAGTATGAACAATAACTTTGTTTGTTCCTCTGGCATCAGCTCTCCTTGGGTTGGAAAAAGATTTGTCCTCATTTTTGGCCTTCCTTGATCAGTACGATGTCCAGGTGATCCTTTCTGTCCTTCCTTTCTTTTTCTTGCCAACTGGAGTTTCTATAAGTGTTAACTCTCTTAATTTGCATCTCTTGCCCTCTGTACAGTAATCATTTGCTTAGATAGCATATAAGCTAAATTTACGGTATCATACCACGGTTACACAGTTGCATGCTTTACCTCCATAATCGTGTCATGTTCATGACAAGGGAGCTTTTTGATTTTTCATGGATTTCCCCTAATGTGATTAGACTGAAGTTTGTGTCTCTTAGAGATTGTCTTTTTGACTCTCAAAGCTGTTATACTTGAATTCATGGTTGTTGGGATGCACCAAAACACTCTTGCTTAGGCTATCTCCATCCTTGTGGATCTGCTAGTGAATAAATCTGAGTCTGATCAAATTCTTGTTGGCTAAATTCTTATGAATTCCTATTAAACAATCAGTGGTTGCTGCTCCTCATCATCATCTGGCAGAAACTTAGAAAGGTTGAAATCTGTGTTACCTGTCTCCACATCATAAAAAGGTGCAGATTCCCAGCTGAAATTATCATCTCCTGAATCATTGTTGAAATCCTATAAGAGTATCCTTTTTAGGAAAATACAGGTACGCCACAAAAAATATGACAATTGCCTTCGTTATGACTAATGAGTTCATCTTTGTTTTCCATCCATTGAAGCTTCACCATAATATCCTCCAACCCTGGCATGGTGATGACTAACAAACCAAAGCAAGCACTAAAAGAGAAGGGAAACAAAGAATTAGGAGAAGACAGACGAAGATAGATGATATTTAAGAGGTGTAAAGAACCTAAACTATGATAATGGACAACCAATTGAACAAAAGTCAATTAACCATAGAAGAGGTGGCTTGGCACTCTCTAAAGCCAAGAAAGCCTTTTATCTTTTATCTCAAATTTTTGGATTTTCTTACTTTTTCTTCCATTTTTGTGCTATACGCCTCTTGAACAACCAAAAGACACCTCTTAATTTAGAAAATCAACCGTTTCTTAAACTGAATAACTAATGCATATTATGCCCTTTTTAGTCTACTTTCATATTTGTTGTATCCCCTCATTTTATCCATGCATTTGCTATTGTAATGCTTCAGACCCTTCTTACATCCTTGCTCAAGAGGCCTTTTCAACACCTATGCCTTTGCATCTTCTTTCTTATTCTTTGTGCCCCATCATTTTATCCATGCATGTGTTATGTTACGCAACGCCTTCCTGATGTTCTTTGGAAGGGCAACGTAAGGCTAAGCAACTGATGTCAGTGCGGTTGCTGTCCGCCAATGAGGTCCCCTCCGCACGCTAGACTAGATTGTCAGTGCCGTGCGGGAAAACCAATGTCACGAGCAATTGCGGAAGCTGAGAGAGAATTGGGTTTTGAATGATGATGATGATTTTATTGATGACTGAAATGCTGATTACAAAGATGCGGTGTCGAGGGGGAGAGACACCAGAAAAATGCTTGCTTGAAAATGTTTGATTGTTTGGTCCCCCTTAATAATGCTTAAAAAAAATAAACCAACATTACATGACTAGTCCTAATAAAGCTGTAGAAGCACACTGAATG